AACGGAATAAACCTGTCACGGATGGACCAGCTGTGTGAAGAATATCGCTTCTCCTTCAACGGGAGCCAGTATCAACAGCACTAGAAAACAGCCGTGCTGACTTTGTTTACCCATAGGGAATCCCACCCGACAATAACCAGTTCTGCTAAGACTTCCATTTACATGGAATTTTTAAATTGCACATAGAAATCTCAGTAATTGGAAAAGAGGTCAGTGCAGCCGACCTACACAACCAGCAAGCATCTCCCCCCCTGCACCCACTCCAGTTAACAAAAGCTGGACTCCAGGTTCTGTAAGAAACGTATCAGATCTGATCCTGTTTTTCTTCAAACAGTTTCAGCAGAATTACTAAAGTTCTGTAAAAAAGTAGAAATAGCATGGCATATCCAGCGATACCGCGTGAAGCGAGTAAGCTGGTTTAATATTAAAAACGATAATAATACTTACACAACTCTTTTCAGGTTAAAACTGTATTAGAAACATGAACTAAGAAGTCCTCACACCTCCCTGTGAGGCAAGTAAGTATTATTACCCCCATTTTACAGATGAGGTAACTGAGGCAGAGAGGTTAATAATTTGCCCCCTCTCTCTCAAGGTTTTCCTAGGAACAGGAGGGCTGTAGTGCATGATGATTCCTCATTATAAGGCTATTTAATTACCAGTTGTTACTGACACAGTTACTGGTTGGTATGAAATCGTACGTGTTTATGGAGTCAATTCTTATTTAATTCTTCAACTGAACTATTTCAGATTCCGTGGAAGAATGTGGAGCCGAAGAAAAAAGTGCTTTAGCTCATCTACTTTCCTGCTTCGCAGCTCAGTCCCTACCTACCAATGGCACACAGAGGTAACGCGGCGCCTAGAGCCGGCGCTCCGGTTTGCAAAGAGACAACACCTATGTACGGTAACTTACGGTAATTAACTTATGGTAATGACTAAAAGAACTGAAAATCACATTAAAAGTTTCCAGAAGTTCCGTGGCAGGTCAGAAAGCCCACTGTAAACTCAATACTGTAACTATGCCTTCTACTCACATCAAAGCTTTATTATTGGATTATTATTATTGCCAATGATGTGTTTTGCTTAATAAGGAGGATCTTCCCCCTCTGCATCTGTCTCCTGTGGCATTTATCTGGGAATATTGCATCCAGATGCACTGGATGAGAAAACAGATATTGTGAGTGGTACCGCTCAATGCCGGCCCTCGGACGCGTCACCTTTCTGGCTAGAGGACAAGTTCCTCTCTCGCTTGACCTTATTAATTTTACAAGAGCCCAGCATTATTCAACTGAATTCACCCCAAAAGTCAGGACGGATTTCAAAGGCCAACAGCATTTAGATACGATGAGTTTCTTTTAAACTAACAAACAGCTGATTTCCAGAAGAACTTTCTTCAGTTTGTAAAAGGAAATTCGATTGTATTTCTGGAAAGAATGAAGGATCAGAGAGCTAAATTGCATTTCTCCTCCAAATTGGATTAAGGGGGAGTATTTTATTATGGGAATGTGCTCTCTCCTTCTCACATATGTGCAATCCTTGCTAAGAGCGCTGAGGCTGCCCGGTGGGCAAAGGGGCTGTGCTGGAAACCCACCACCCTGCTTAGATGACTCAAAGGTGGATAAACCCACTCAGAAGCCCGAATAATGAAGAAATTTGCCTAGGAGCCAGTTAAGTCCCATTTAATCCTTGAAACCAACTTGGAAGTTTTATGTGGCAGACCTGTGCCTGCCCCAGCAGGAACGGGGCTGCTCTGGAGCCCCTCGGGACTGGAGCACATGTGGGATGGAAACATGGCTCCCCAGACACCCCAGCTTTAGCCCACTGTAATTTTCAATTTGCCTTTTGGAAATTTTTGTGATAATGTGGGTGTTCGGATTACAGTTGCTACTGAATGCAAAGTGAAAGACGAGCAGTTCTAATGCCTCTCCCTCCGTTGATACGCGTTCTCTAGAAAACCAAACCTTGTGAAAATACCATATAAATAACATCTGTATTTAAAAAGATACAAAAACGCTCGCTGGGTACTCAAGGTTTTACTTGCCATTCTGAATTTCTGGATGCTATAAGCAAGCCCCCTGGAGTTCTCGTTAAAGGGCTGGTCCAAGCGTGAGCGTTCACGCGCGAGTGCGTGAGGCGGAGCAGCGAGGAGTAACACGGATTTTCAATCCCTGCTTTTTCAAGACCCTGTCTTGTTCCTGCGGGATCCAGGAGTTCACAGTACCTTTTCGTAAGCGTTACAGACACCTACAGAAGACGACGTGAGATGCGGCAAAGGAACTTGAGGTAACAACGTTAAAGAGGAATTTCTGCTTCTACATCAGAAAAACTGGGGAGCGAACGCAAGTGTCTAAGAAACGGGTTATGAGAAGCAGCCAGAAGACGAGCAACTCTGTCCAGATGTCGGACCAGCTCTTTAACGCCGCGTTCTGGTGGGAACAGGCCTGGCCGTCACAGCCGCGCCAGCCACAGCACCCCCCAACGGGATTTCCCCGCACAACTCGCATTGCACCGGGAAAACCAGAACCGTGTGGGAACCTGTGGGATCTCCTGCCTGTTTCTGGCTGGCTTTAGTTCTGCCCCTCTACCGCTTTTCTTACTGCAAAACCCCATGCGCTGGTATTTCTCCCTGCATTTTCCTTTTGAAAAAAAAACTTTTTTACTTCACATTCTTAAAACACACGTAATGCTGCCTCTCAGCAGATCTACTTACTTGAGAGCCCCTTATTTATCCAAAATCCTAGCCTCAGTAATCTGTTGAATCTATTATCTTCTACAACACGATACCTAGACTTTCCTAAACTATGGCAGGCTAATAATATTCAGAAAAACATAAATAGTCATGACTGCTGTACTAGTCCACGTGCCTTATGATGAATACCATAATTTTTGAAGTATACAATATTCAAACAAGAAAATGAACCACCAGACTTGGCTGATAACATATTTGACACAGAATGGTTTAAAAAATTCACTCCTAAAATGTTTTAACAATGCCGAGTTCTGTTTATTCAGGCAACAATCTGCGTTCTTGCTAGTTGGCCAACGCCCCTCGCTAGCGGCGTATTTTCCCACGCCTCAGAGCGGTTTTTTTTTTAGCCTGCTCACCCTTACCTGGGGAGATGCTCCTGGCATAGAGCTGGGGCTGCGAGGGACTACGACTGGGCAAAAGTCGAACCTCTGGAGCGCTGCAAATGGCGCATCCTAGGCACCAAAAATATGGCTTCTGAGGGCACCACGGGGGCAGAAACATGACAGAGTTGCCGTTCCGACCCAACTGTGTTTCACTCACGAATTGTCCCACTCCACCATGGGTCACCCCCGTAAAGTCAAACCCATCCACGTGGCTACCAATTTGCAGGACTGGATCTTAACAGAATCTTTGGCACAGGTTCCATGTTTTATTGTCCTAAAAGACGATTAGAAAGTAGATTCCCCTCCCACCCCCCTAGTTACATATTCTAGTATAAATTTAAGTCTTTTATGGCAAATATCTTACTTTTTGAATATGTTTACATGCTGGAAAAAAACTGTAATCAGTCTGCATGCAGCAACAGAGACATCATGCTTCTGGCATCGTCATGCACATCTGACAGACAAAAGGTGCTTATGGCTGCTAACGTTAACGAGGCAGAAGGAAAAAAAAAAAAAAGGAAAATGCACTGACTCCTATTGTACATGCTGTAACAAAACCAAAATATGCACAAAAAATATTTACTGATATTTGAATCGATATCTTCTGGCAAGTCGTAAGAGGAAATATCAAAATTTTTTATCTAAGTGATAGGAGAGGAGAAGATTGCATTAATTACAGAGTTCATCATTGCAAATAAAGTCTATTTCCTTCTCTGTAAGTAATAAGCAGACGTGAAACAAAAGCCTAATTGAACCTCGTATAAAACCTGCAGGTAGCAATTATTGTTTAAAAGTAGATCTACTTTTAAAAAAAAAGAGATTATACCCTAAGCCATTAACGATATCCAAAACCTAAAGTAAAAACCGAAACAATAGCAATAAAACATTTAGCTAAATCTAAATGATGTCATTCAGAACAAGAACTTTCACAAATAAAGCACGGTTTTATAAAATTTTTTATAATACTCTTTATGCTTGATACGATTATGTCAATAATATAGATCTGCTTATTATTAACCCTTATTATTAAGAGTTATTACTAAACATGCAAAATTCATTGCATGAAGCGTATGTAAAATGTAGTAAATCCCATTCTATCAATAAAACAAGTTTTAGGTGCTGCTTCTTTCAGGCTTGATTATTCTACAGCCCCAAGTTTTCTGAATTAAACCTGATTATTTTAAGACTAAATCTCACTTGATTTTCATGAGTTATTCTGGAGAAATCAGGAAGTCATTGGGGCTGCATTTTTTGTTAATTTAGGATACCTAAGGCTTTCTTCGACCTACTGCCCTATACTGCAGGCTATAAATAAACACCCGTAAATAAGATTGAAGGGATTACAGCTCTGTTTTACATTCCAGGTTAACAAATTTAATAGTAAAATATTGGTATTAGAATTGGTTAACAGTAAACTTGAGGAGTGGTGTAAATTAAAGTAACTGAACAAACAATGGCACCCTGGATCACAGAATAATCTCATGGAGATTAAAATTCACAAAAATATTATTAAAATTATTACTATTATTATTATTATTAAAGACAAAATTTTACCCTTGACTTTATCACATGCTACTTAGCAAAGATCCTAGAGATCTGGCTGCCGCCCAAGTGTGTTTGAATGTGGTGTTGCTTACAGGATCGGTTCACAAAGACTCGGGGTCTAATTTGATTTTGTCCCCCTCTCCCACCCACTCTCAAATTGTTACTCTCGTATTTTTGAAACAACTACTTCCAGCGGGTTTTTTTTTTGCAATGCCTCTCCTCCCCGGTGCCGCTGCTTTTTCAGTCTCTC